TCTCTCTCTCTCTCTCTCTCTCTCTCTCTTTTGTATTCACTTCTCTTGATGTCGCTTTTCCTTCCCACGCTTGCCCTCAGCATTCTGCCGTACGCCCACTCATGACGGTGGGTGGGTGGTTGGCAGGTGCTCTGGTGTGGTTTGCTCCTTCTTTCCTATCGAACATCTATCGCCCTTATTTCCCCCTTCTTCTTTTTTATGTTTGTTACTCTCTTGTAACTCCTCTAATCCTCTGGCGCTCATAATATGACCTTATGCAGTTGCGAGCGCTGTAAACCTCTACTAAAACTAAAACAAATTCTGCCTTACGCCCACTCATGATTAATGTCCTTCCTCCTTGTTCTTCACTCACTACCTCGCGGGTGGTTGGAGGGCGCCGCCTCTGGTGAGTCCAATTATTCCCCTCTCCCCCCCCCCCCTTTTTGTTTCTGTCTGTCTGTCTTGTATCCCCTCTTCACTATATTATGAATATTATTGTGTCAAAATTCTTGTGGCTACTTGTAGCTCTAATCTTCTGGCATTCATATGTCCTTATGCATTGCGAACGCCGTAAAGTCTTAATAAAACTAAACTCTCTTGTTGTTGTTGTTGTTGTTATCGATCCAGCAACAGCTGGGCTCTCGCCCTTCTGTCCAATGCCATGTAGTGATAAGTGCAGGTTTGCTGCAGTTGCTGCAATGTTCCATAGAGTGTGTTGTCAATGTTAGGTCTCGGAGGGAGAAGGGTAGTTGTGATGTCATTCAGGGCTGTGCATTGGAACAGGTGATGATCCAGTCTCATATGCATAGTCACACAAGGGACACATTGAGGGAAGTTCCGGGAAACTCTCTTGTAACACCTCTAATCTTCGACACTTATAGGACCTTATGCAGTTGTGAACGCCGTAAAACCTCTACTAAAACTAAACTAAATTGTTCATGTTTTCTCCACAGGCTCCACAGAGAGCTTCAACCAGCCGTTTGAGGGCTCCACCACAGAGCCGGGCAAGATAGCGCTGGCCTTCTACTCCGGGCTCTTCTCGTACTCAGGATGGTGAGCAAAGGCCCAGTCTTTACACGTGCATGTGTACCTAGATTATATTATATTATAATGTCAGAGGAGCAGATTTTTCCGGATAAGTCTGGCTGAAGATCCGGAAAAATTCGAAAATCCGGATTTATGATGTTTTTTGGATTTAAATTGGTCGCTTTTAAGCACAATGGGGCTATCCCGAAAAATACTGTTTTGAGAAAATCGAAAGTAAAAGTTTTTGCCTCTTGTTCGGTTTCTTTAAAAGATACTGAACGTTTTCTCACTAAACGAACAAATATACAAATATTTACTTTGTACTATTTGGTCGCTTTTAAGAACAAGCGGGCTATCCCGAAAAAATCAAAGGTAAAGTATTTTAACCTTGTTCAGTTTCTTTAAAAAACAAGGAAAGTTTTCTTTATTACCAAACAAATATACACATCAATGAAACCAAACTTCTCCTATAGGTAGGGCAATGCCCAATTTTGGTGTAAGTCAAGATTTCTGGAAACCCCCGAAATCTGGGTTAGCCCGCTTGTCCTTAAAAGTGACCAATGTGCCCCGACTTCAGTAATAATTTTCTTGTCTTTTGAATTATACTATGTGAACTCTTGAAACAAACATATTTAAGATATATTTCAGTCTTTAATCACTCGTTAGTCTGCATTATTGGCATTCCAAGTTCAGTGTAGGCTTTTCGTCTCGTAAGCATTTTTGTTTCTTTAATTACAAAAGAGTAGTCGTCTTCAGACGACCCTCCCCAGCAAATAAAAAAAAAACTAACAAAAAAAGAACTTATAAAAACCCCAAACTTAAAAAAGAAAATTAAACCTTAAAAACCCTGGCAAGCTAGATCTATTTATTTACGAATGGTGTTACTTAATGGGTGAGTGGGACGAGACTTACAGATTGCTCAATATGTTTTCGACCCTTTGTTCTATGTAATATAGATCAGCTTTGGGGCTACAGATGTGCTCATTCTGTTTTCAACCCTTTCTAAGGAATATAGATCAGCTTTGGGGTTGGAGGCCTTGACTTTACCTATCAGGGCCGTGTGGAATAAATGTACACCCATAGACTTGTGTTACCATAATCCTGGATCGTACTGTCTGACGATATATTTACGTATTTCCGGTTTACTATGGCGCGCAGCATGTGGCTCGTACACTCGGTTGGCTAATGCAGAACTTGTCTTTTGCCCTTCATTTGGTCGCTTTTAAGCACAAGGGGGCTATCCCGATAAATACTGTTTTGAGAAAATCGAAATTAAAGTTTTGGATCCTTATTCAGTTTCTTTAAAAGACAGGGAGAGTTTTCTCTATAACCAAACAATATATATACACACACCAATGAAACCAAACTTCCCCTATAGGTAGGGGAATGCCCGCTTTTGATGCAGGTCAAGATTTCTGGAACCCCCCCCCCCCCGAAATCTGGATTAGCCCGCTTGTCCTTAAAAGCGACCATTTGTGGACTTAATGGTGCTGCCAATGGTGCACATGGAACGCAATGAAGTTTTCTACCTAGCGAAGACCATGACAATGCGCAGTCTAGGACTACACGTCTTTGGGGCCAATTTTGGCCTTGAAGGATACCCCAATCTGAAGGACAGAGACCCCCGATAAATAAATTATTTATGTTTCTCCTGAGAGCTGAACAAATATCGTGTGCGTGCCAGGCAAAGGGCACTACCTAGACGGTCAGATAGAGGCTAGTAGAATAAGAAGGTAGAGGGCACCACCTTTGCGCCACAGACGCAGGACAGAAAGGTTGGGGTGAGATTAGAGGGGCCACCTATATGTACACGTACCAAGTAGGCTACAAAGGGGGGAAGGGGTTGTAGTTTTGCATGGTGCGTGTGTGTGTGTGTGTGTGTGTGTGTGTGTGTGTGTGTG